CAAATTGCTGCTATTAATAAATAAAAGTCAGGAGAGGGGAAAGGATTTCTAAGTATTACTGATAACGCTTAGATAAGAAATGTGGCACTGATCATTTACATTCCTTCCCCTTTCTGAAATATTTAAAAATAGATTGAGAAGTTCTGTAGACAAAATGCCCGACTATGTTATACCTTCCCCATTTTTCTCGTAAGTCACATTATTTATTGTATCTGTCTGTAAGCAACTGCGTGAAAAAGGATTGTGTTACTAAATATCAACAATACAACTGAAGTTAATCAAAAGGTTATTTGGACATCAGGCACCATCCGTCCTTATCTGCGGAACAATATTTTGCTAGATATTAGCAAAGATAATGTGAAAAACGTGTAGCGTGCTTACAATTATATCTTACTGACCTATTTTTATTTTTTGTGTCTGTTATATTCTAAATTTCAGTCTATCAAGTCAGCTAGAGTTTTTCTCAGCAATGACTGCAGGCTTGTGCTCAAAGGTTATATAGAGAATGTCCTTTTAGAATGTAATTAAAATAGTCACATCTTTCACTGATCTGTTCAGTACCAGGTTTAAACACATTAAAATTACAACTATTTATAAATAAAAGAAGTAAGTCTGAGTCCTGTAAAATATTAGTAAGCTAAATATGAAAAATTGAAATATAAAACCATTTTGACCTTTAAAATAACTAGATTGTACCTTGTCTTGACAGCCTGATTACTTTTGAAATTGACAGTCGGAGTTCTAATTACATGAGAAGGGAACAGACATTTTACTCTAATTTAATTATGAAAAGATGCCCATTTAATGTAACTTTTCAAGATCAATTTACAGTAAGGTTTTATGGCAGTAACAAGAAAATCAAAGGAGGTTCACAAATATTGTGGAATTTAATAGATGTACGATGTACTTCACAGGCAACCATGTTATAGAAAGGCTACCTAGGACCTCTTTACACTATCATTTCTTTTAAAAAGCATATAAATATAAACACAATTAATTATAAATACATTATAAAGCCAGGTCTTTTGGAATACACTCTTTAGAATGAAGTTTGGGCTTCCTCTGAATTAACTGAAGAGACAGCACAGGGAGATTTTTATTCTGTGCCACCTAACAGATCATGCAGGGGCCTGTCACAGAACAGGTTTCAATCTTCCAGTGGGTACAAGGTTTGGGGGTAGTACTGCTCTAAAGGGGGATGGCCTCAGCAGTGGGGTGCGAGTCAAGGACTGTCTCCCTGACAACATCACAGAAGATACAGAGAAAAAGGAGAAAGCAAATGCTGCACATTTCCAAGAGAGTAAAGGATACTGTTGGAACAGCGTCCCCAATCCATTCTGTCTGTCTGTGCCTTGTGCAGGCAGAAAAATGCCTCAGGCTACCTTAGCTCAGCCACTATTACACTCTTCCCTCCTTCCCCTCCCCCAGTAGCGCTTATCAAATGTGCAAAGCTAGTTTTAGAATCTGTTTTTGCTAGTAATAATTGACTGGATAACAGGCAAAGAAAACACATGCTATATATTCACATTAATTCATGCAAATAATCTGTTTAAATTCATGCATGCATATATTGCAGATTCAATTAAAATGCATTATGTGTTACAGCATTGTGGATTTTTATAGATCGATTTTGATAAACCATGTTACAAGGTGCACAGAAAGATACAATGAGAAAGAACATTGTTCATTATTTCCATTGCAATAATTTTCTTCTCCACCCTCTAAAAGCTGACTGACAGGGTGAAGGAATCAAGAGGAAGGAATGCAGTCTAGATGCATGACAAGAAGCTGCTATGCCTGTGCTGTGTGGCATCAACACCCAGCTACCAGGGTAGTGCCATCCTGCCCGCTGTACTTGTTAAAGACACTCTTTATGACAGGCTGACTGAGCACACAGAATAGAATCAATCCCTGTTATTGATCAGCTTCATGTACAATGGGGGCCAATTTCTGTTCTCTAGACCTGCCCCTGTTGGCAGATATGGTTATTTTAATGTGTTTCCATTGTCTGCATGCCCTAGAGAAAGAGCCATTTGACAGGTGCTGGAAATGTGGCATGACTCCAAGAGGTCACTCAGGCTCTGAACTAATGTAGCTCACTGCAAAAACTGAACTGTGCTAGTGAAATGTGGCCACTGAAGGATGTACTGTTGCTTGCACATAATTGTTTTAACACCACTTTGAACTCTTTCACCTAATTATTTCAAAGAGTTACTCTCACAGTAACTTCAGGGGTGTTACAGCACACACAATGCCTCAAGATTAGTGGCTTGATTCCTTTACTTACAATTCTCACTATAATACAAAACAAAGTCTCTACTGATTTCATGGAGAGGAACAGTTGGTTACTATTTGCCCACACAGTACAACAGAAAGTCAGTTCTTCACTGGCCACACAGAATTTTATATGGAGTAAGACTTTTTATTATTTCCAAATTTCTACAAATTGTTTGACCTGTATATCTTGGGTCTATTGGAAATATGAATAGGGAAACAACTATATAAAAAACTGCATAAAAGATCAAAAGAGATTGTGTTTACCTAAACCAGCCACTTCTCCAAATGTAACACCACTGACAGAATTACATCAAACTGTAGATGTTATTTTGAATGATGCATTAGACAATTACTAGACAATTTTCTTTATTATTATCCAGACCGTATGCATTTCCCAGCACTATCAGAGCAAACAAAACTGAGAGCTGTAGCAGAGATGGAGCTTCATGAAACCTGTCAGATGAGCGACCAAGAAGGAAGCCTTTCTGCTGAGGAGCAACTGAACCAATCGTTCAACAAATACAGGTTAAAATTATCGCTGTTATGATGTCTTCAATAATCACAACATTTCCCATGACTTAGTTTCTGTGTAAATGAAGCACCACTGAAGCTTTAAAGGCTTTAATTGCATTGGATTTTACCTGGCATTTGCAAAGTACAATTCTGCTTTGTATAGAGAACATTTTTGGATGTTGATTTTTGGATGCTGTTGAATGCTGGGGATCAGCCCTGGTTTTTGTTACAGATATTCAGTAGTGATATAATGCAATGATGATACTGTTAGCTTTCAGTGTTCAAAGGCTAAGTACATTTGTAGAAGAATATTTTACTCATACATTTTCTTGGAGTGTGGCACACAACCTAAGTTAATATCACAGTTTCTGTTACTTTTATTTACTTTCAGATGAATAGAAATTGAGGAAGACCTATGTAAGAACAGCATGTACCCTGATACATGCTGGGATACTGGGATTTAAGTCCCTTCTTCAGAGATTTGAACATAAAAAGAAGATAAATAAAACCTTGGAAAATCCTAAAATGCTTCATTTTATGTAGTTAATATTTGGTTCCACTATTTGCAGTTGTGTGTTTGGAGTCATGCTTTGCCTAATTCAATAAGGAATCTATCTGAGAATGGGCTACAGCTCACAATAGCTCATTAACTCTTAAGAAATTCTGTCCAACTGAGACAGAAGCATTCTGAGAAAGTCTTGAAACATAGTTAAAAGCTGTTCTGTTTTGATGTGTCAGAAGCATATAAAGAGTAAATTATGAAGGCTTTAATTCCTTTGCATGCCTAGGTTAATTTTGTTAAGTTTCAGCTAGTGACTGGATTACAGAAGGTTTTAGAAATGTAATAAAAATTAGTGACTGCGAAATGATTGTGAAAAAATTGCAGTTGTATGAGGTTGAGTTCATCCTGAGTAGCAGTGAAACATGCAATGGTAACAGGGTATGAAGACACTTGGTAGAATACAGTATGGGCCTAAATTGTATAGTATGGGCTGATCTATACCTACAACTAACGAAATCCCAGGCAGAACTCATTTCTCCATAGACTTTCACAGGAGTTCCAGGAGACTTGTAGCCATTCACTTTATGAATATGTGCCATTTGGATTTTAAAAGATTCATTTTGTAGCACTGGTCCTCTAACCTCACAAAGCAATTCACTTACAAAACCAAACCAATTAAAAAGTACATCTAAAGAATCAAATTAGAGAAGTAACAGGCAAATAGGAAAGCTTCCTTGAAGTCAGCTGAAGCTGGAAATACCTGATAACTCAAAAAACCCTAACCAGATATAAAAGATGGCAGTGTTAGTATCTGTAGAGCCAGGTAGTGTCACTGTAAGATTGTTATATACATCCTACCTTACAAGAAGTATATGGCATATCAGTTCTGCATACACCTGGAAAGAAAAAAAAACAGTGCTGGGGCTGTACTCCCTCTGTGGTGTATCTGTGTTAGGTGTGGAAGTTGATGTAGCCCCAGAAGCTACACAGCAAGTAGGGAAAGTTATGTTTTTATATCTATGTTTAGACAAGTATCAAAATCTTATTACTGCAGAATAGATGGTCTGGGAAGAGCAAAATCCTCCCAGTTCTAAACAGCAGGATGACCTTGTAAGTTAAGAATCAACCAACTACAGCCATTACATTGTCAGCCAGTAAAGCAAATTGGGCAAAAAGGAAATAAAACAAGGGATGCAAATGGTGTGCAAAACTTTCCATTTAAAGGTGAGACCCCTAATAAGGATAACCCACTCTACATGTAGAATTTCCCCTCTTGAGACAGCTCCATGATTTCTGATTAATACAATAAAATGTGCCTGTAACACAAGTGAAATTGAGTAAGTTTTATGTTTGCCTATTGTGATTTGGTTTACAACTTTTCAGGGCAAGCAGCTTATCTACAAATAACCTCACAAAAAAAATCACACAGAAGTACTGTATTGCATGATTTCTGCAAGTCAGTGCTAAGGATATGTTCTTGGTCTGATTTTGGGCCAGAAAATATTGTCCCTCGTTCTGTTTATTGTCCTCTCTGTACCTTCTTTCCCAGAATATCCTCTCCAAAACAAGACAATCTCTATTAGACTATTGGATGGAATTATAGGTTGGGACAGTAATTGCCTGAATATGACCTCAAATTAGTACTGCTTTCAATACATTTTTGGTGTGGGTTGTTGTTGTTATCTTTTGGGGTTTTTTGGCTTTTATCTCTCAAGTCTCATTGGACAGTTGGTGCTGGTCCTATGAAAATTATCAGATAACATAAAGAAAATAATTAATTCTTTTTCTTGCACTTTCTGTTTTCTCCTCCAACAACAGTTTTTATTTTCCTGTTGACTGAGAACTAAAATGCTCAGTAGCACAAATAGTACATATAAATGTTTCTTTCCCATGTATTAAGAAGAGATTGTGCTACAAAGGTTGTCAAATAAATTATCAGAATAAGTAATATCCAAACTGTGAAAATCAGATACTACTTTTGTAGTTGTTATAGAACAAGTCATTTATTTTCACACTGTGAACAAGAGATTTTTGTACTCACTTTTCCATTTTCATGTAAATGCATTATGATTGTGTGATATATGCTTTATAGTGCATGTAATTAATTCATGTTTGAAGTCTGCTTTATGAATTTCCCACTTTTTTAATAGTTTCAGAATGACTGAGTTCCATTGTAGAATATACCTTTCTGAATCTATTGGAATTGTGTTTTACAGCTCTTAGATAAGCAGAGTTTCAACATTAGCTCAGTTGGTTAGAATAGGGTGCTGATAACCAACCAAGGTTGTGGATTCAATCCCCTTATGTGACTGCCTTAAGTCACTTGAGAGTTGGACTTGATGGTCCTTGTGGGTCCCTTTCAACTCAGAATATTCTGTAATCCGTCATTTGAAAATTAACATTTTGCACAGGGAATAAAAGCTTACGTGTGGCAAAACTTCACTGCTAATTATAAATTCTATTTTAAAGGTGACAGTCTCTGCCTTGCTTTAAATCATTAAAAATAATGTGTAAAATCATGTTAACAGCATTTATTCAGAAAGAAGTGCAGAGCTAAGCCACAGCACCAGATTTTTATGATTTATTTGGACAGCCATATATTGGCATCTGACGGGTCTAAACATCATTACCAATTTAGGTATTAGACTGTTTGTATCATTTTTTGCATGTGTTTTGTGTTCCTTCAGAAACTTAATAACAATAACAATAATAAAAAGCATCAACAAATGCAGCATTTGGCAGTTAATACTGAACACCAGTATTTGTCTCCAATAAAGCCCTGTTCAATGGGGCCACTAGGTGGTACTGCACCACAGTACAATTCCTTGGCTGCCTGTTCGAAATCGTAACTGTGAATGATCATTTAGGATTGCAACAATAGCATAATGACTTGTTTGCCCACTTTTCCTAGACACAATACACACAGACAGATGCAGAGGATACGCATAGGATGTTTAGAAGCATTTCTTTGGTTTGATTCGCTGGCATCAATAATGAGCTTCCTTATCAGCCCATACAAATGGAACTTTGATATTTCAAAGTCATAGTGGCAAATACTTTCTTTCCTTCATTGAATGTGGCAAACAAAATTCAGAGACTGTGTTCCCCTGAGAGGAATAAATGGCACCCAAACACAAACCAGTGACGAGTATGAGCCCAAATTCAGAGATATGATCATTTTTACACATCAGGAATTTGGAATTCCTTGCTGATTTGAAAACCTTCATACCCATGTTCCATATGCAAATAGCAAAATTAAGTGCACTGTAGTGGTAAGTCAAGCCCGTGAAATCCAAACCAAATAAAAAAGCCATAGCTATTCAAATATTTAGGTTTTATTTATCTGGCTATGCTCATTCACATCCAACAGATTAATATATGATTCCTTTTTTTGCATATGTTTATGAAAACAAATCATATTACCATGGACTTTCTGCTCATCTTCTACAGTTTCTCTAGTGAACTGCTGTATTGGGTCCTGAGTACTGGGTCACAAGGCTGTGTACTGTAAACGTTCCTTTGTTCTAAAACACTTCTTCTATGCCCCAAAACATTCCTTAAGCAAAAGCTATTAGTGACCTACCTTCTGTGTGAACTTAGACTTCTGAAGCTCATTCTTTCTTATGTGTGTCTGATCACATGAAAAGGGATGTGTAACACGGGTGTCAAATCACATGACAAAGAACAGTCTGGACTGCATATAGAAAAAGTCCCTTTCCAGAAGACCTCAGTTATGCAGAATCTCGATGGCAATCACACAGTCCTCCACTGCTGGGAAATGCCAAATAATCCCCTCACCTCCTGCCCAGCATGCCAGGCACAGAGGAAGGCACAGATCAGGTTGATCAGCTCTTGCTGGTGTGCAGATCCCAGTGCAAGGGACAGAGCACAGCACAGAGAGTTGATGATTCTCACCCAGGAAATCCCAGACAAGGGACCATGCAGCTCCCCAGCACCTTTACAGAGCCATGCTGAATGCCACATTCCCCAGCATCAAGGCTTCAACCACCTGAGCACAGGGACGACACAGAGAGAAATCACCAGCAGAATTCTGCGGGGGATTGATTTTTCCTAACAAACTCAAGTATTGATTGGAAGAAGATCTTAGCAGTGAAGTAGAAATATTTGCTGAGGGTATACATTTACTCAATGTAGGTTGTGTGGGAGCTGTGCAGAGAACTGTAAATGGGCCTTAAGATTAAGTAACTGGTTAATAAGACGGCAGAGGAAATTTAGTGTAGGTAAATGTGAAATTCTATATGTAGGCTAGTGTTCTTGGCTTTAGGAATAAAGTGATGAACTCTGAGTTGCCTGTTACCACTCAGAAGTTTCAGATTGTGATAGATAGACTTTTTCATAAAAACATCAGCTCAGTGCATGGCACCAATCCAAAAATACAAATGTCTGTTAGAAAAGGAAAAAAGAACAAAACAGGAAATATAATTATGCCAGTCTATAATGCCACAATTTTCTCATGCCTGGAATACTGTGTGCTGTTCTGCTGCTTGCATCTACCTCCTATTTTCCTACTTCCAGTGATTACTTAGAAAAGTGGTTAGTCCTCAAAAAGGTTTTAGGATGTGCTTGGAGTACAGAGCTCCTTAAAGAATGCTCATGTTTTTCTGCATATCTGAATGACTTGGATTGGCACTGGAAATAGAAAAAATATCCTGCTCTCCTAATGGAATGTATGTGGGAAGAATCTAGAAGAGAAAATTCTCATGGATCATGCACCTCCTCGTGGATGGTATTCTGCAAGAGAGGATGAATTGAGCCAGTGAAATCAAGGATCAAGAAAAACAGCCATTTCTTGCCAGCAAATACTGAGACAAAACCTTAACTGGCTTCCTCCAAACACCTGCTACTTGGCATACCCAAGTCACTGCCAGTACTCCTGCTTTGAGGGTGCCATCCCTGATTCTGCATGTATCTTCAGAGCAAACATGTTTTGCAAAGTGGGAGGTAATACTACAAGTAACACATACGGAAAGATTTTATTCAGATTATGTCTGATCACAAATGTTTATTGAGGTTTGAGAGATTAGATTTTGATGAACCAAGGGACTGCGCTCCTTTATGTCTTTACCACCTGGTATTTTTATGACATGCATCAACAATACGAATCAGCTGTGACAATATGTAACAATTGTCACCATTGGCTTGTGGCTTTTGGAATCACAGCAGTCATGTCAAGGTCAATTCGTTCAGCAGCACTGGCTGATTTGACAGGAAGCTGCTTATCTCAGTGTGGAACCTGGAACAGATAAGCCATGGCTATAGACAGCAGTAGTAAGAAGTGTAAAAGAGAAGTGAAGGAGAAGAGAAAAGGAAATAAAGAGCTGAGAACAAGTGTCTTACCCAAGTACTATGGGTACTTCCACTTTAGAAATACCATTTTAAGTACTTTCCAGTCTCTTATTGTAATTTCTTGCAACTGTTGGCACAGTTATCTGTATAACTGTTAGCAGCTATCAGACAGTTAATTACTGTAAGTACAATATGTCATAATAAAGACCAGACTTTCTTTAGTAGCCTGCTCAGTTCAGGATAATCTACATTTCCTCTATATAAAAATTGTCACTTCAGTAAACTGCTCCCCTTGCTACACAAAATGTAAAATATGAGAAGTTCCATGATATTATAGATAACTAAATGGCTCTTGTGGCTGAAATAGTAGTTGCTTATGTAACTACACTTTTACAGAATTTATTTGTTTTTCCACAAAAGATACCAACTGTGGCAACCATTACCATAGCAATGCATTATGTATGCTTCCTCACACAATATCCCATGTCTCAAAATATCCAGACTTTATCTATTCTGAATTTTGCCTTCAAGAAAACCTGAAAGCAAGCTTTTGGACTTGAAAACATTTTTTCTGATCTTTGAATTTCCCTAATTTTTGGCTTTTACATTTAATTACTGCAGTCTTTAACTTATTTTTGGCTATTCTTGGCAAGGAATGCCCAAAAGATTGTTCTTTGCATCAGAAAACATCAGAGTACAGTGGTATTCCAGCTAAATCCCACACTCTGGGAACTGTGATGGGCCTTCTATATATATCTTAGGACATCTCTTCAGTATCAACCTTTCTGAATTTCTTGTGCTTCCTAGGTACAGTTGGCATTGTTAGAGCAGACCAGACACAGACAGGGGTCAGGTCTTAGAGCTGCATTTCCAGCCTTCAGATGACTCCTTCCTGCTCTAATGGTTTCCTAAGGGTTTTGATACAGGCTAGTGAAATGGAAGTCTTGGGTTTGAGAAGGGTTGTGTGAGGGATGAGCTGGAGCTGGCAGTGTGCATTCCCACTGTCACTGTGCTCATCCATCACTTGGGGGATGTACGTATTCTTGCTGCAATTTAATTTACATTTAAACCAGTCTTTGAGTAAGACATCACAACACAGGGACTGCATCTTAGTAAGAACCTTTGTCTTAAGTCTTGGCTATATTTAGGAAGATTACCCCTGTAATATTAATAACATATTCTTTGCTACTGTCCAGCCCCAACAGCACTGCATCATAAAACTGCCATAAAAATATTTCTTCAGTGAGTGCTGTTGGCATATGCTCTGCTTGCATCCTGAGGAAAAAAAGAATTAAACTATATTTAATAACATAATTTTGACCTTTCTGTCATAGTAATACATCCATAAAGACATACTTAGATTGTAAACACTTCTAGTCCAGAATAAATCTCTGCCAGTGTCACCAGGGAACCCCAGGCATTGAAGTCCTGAAGTAACAATAGCACCAAGAAACAGATACTCAGTTTATGAGGGGGGGGGAAATCATTGTTGCTTTTGGTATCATTTCCAATATATGTATTTAGTACAGTGTCTGGGAAAATCTGTGTTGTATACAGCATGAATAGTCTTGCAAAGGTCAGCACAAAGTTTTTAGAGCTCCTGCGGTGAGAGTATATGTAGCTGTTTGCTGTGCAAACTAATGATTTCTCAAGAGGCAGAGATCTATATGCACAGTCACTTAAAGCAGCATTTTAATTAATCAAATTATTTTATTTTCCCATGTCTTTTAAGACTGAGCAGGGAATAAAGCACAGCATTAAACTCCTTTTATAATATAATCCTTTTATACAAATATATTGACCCCAATAGCCATTCTTCACTATGTTTTTAAACCTAAGTGGAATGTTGAACAAACATCCACAAAATTGCAGTACAGGCACTGCAATCATCAGGGTGTTTCATAATGCCAGAAGAAAACTGATAAATACAGCAGCATTATGAACTGATTTTAGAAGGGATAGTAATAATTTGTAACCAGTGTTCAATTTCATGATGCATTTAATGATTTTTGAGAGAGCTGTATATTAGTCTATATTGGCAATGCAACACTTGTACAGAAATGGCCCAAATAAATTTTCATTAATAGATCAAAAAGATTATTATCTTCTACTTACACTTTTTTATACAGTGTATGTGTCACAGCCAAAGAAATTATCTTAAATGCTTAGATTCAAGTTCTTTCCACAATTAAGTTTGCATCATAGCTTGGTTTCACTGGTGTACATTGAAGAAGATTTTCACCTCCTGTTTAACCTCATTTATTGACATAAGTAAACACTTGGCAAAAAGTCCTAGGTTAGTAACATTCAAGTTTGGGGTTTTTATTAAGGAGTTTAACATCAAAAAAACTGCTTGTATTTTAGAAGTCTTATTTTACTGGAGTAGTAGCTATGATGGTTTTATTCATTGGTTCACATGTTCATTTATGGACACAGTTACAAATGAGATGAATGGAATTGCCTGCAAGTTAATTTGGATGATGATCTTTATTTCTAAATTTATAGGTACCATGGGAGGAAAAAAAAAGTACTTGCCAGTAAAACAGAAAGTTTAGTTAGAACTGGTGATTGGTGGTCTAGAGCAGCCCAAGTATTAGGATGCAGAAAATATCTATTGGGAAAACTCCTCTCTGATGCTATTCACTATTCTTTATACTCATCCCAGAAAAGAAGAAAAAAAATTAGTAAGAAAAATTTTAAAAATATTAGGCATAATAGATTATGAGTTTAATAAGCAAAGATATCTTTTTATCTGAGCTTGAAAAAGGCACTGTTTGATTTAGACTAGAGATTAGGATAAGGCAAAAGGTAGGCAATAGAGGAGATGAATCAAACAATTAGAAATATTATTTTTCATTTTGTTCTGTAACAAGGCAAAATGAAGTCTGAAAGGACAGAACAATTAAGTATTTAGTATTTTAGCAAAATTGTAAGTAATCTGTAGAATTAATTGCCAACATATACGATCAAAACCATTAATTTAATCTGATTCAGAACTGGATTTTATTTTTGCATGAGTAGCAGACACTTCTATAATCTTGCTAACAGTAAATTTAATTTCCCTACCATGTTGTAAATGCACATCTATCAGAAGCGTGTTTAGAAGAAACATCTTCTAGAGTTTACTCTCACTAAAGTCCAAAGCTAAGGCAGCTGGGCTAAAACAGGTTATACACCCCACAAATTCTACAGGGCTGATGCAGGAAAACAAAATCTGTCCTACCCTGCAACATCTGCACCACTTTGCAACACAACAAAAAACAAAAACGCAGATTAAAATGACAGCATATGAATGACCATAGCCTAGACTGTATTTGCCAACATAACCCTGCAGCATTACCTGAAGAATTTCAGAATTCAGTGAATCCTTGTCCACTGGTTCTGCCTTCTATCAAGATTTATGTTCCACTGTGCCAACTACTCCCATGGCTTTAGTAAGACACAATCAATCAGTTGTTCCAGGAGCCATTTGGTCCTTTATGTGCACTGGGTTTTATCTCTTCTTTTCTTCTCAAGGCTACTTTCTCAACTCTAAATCAAAGGAGTAAAGAAAAAAAAATACTGATTGGAAGTTTCTGTATGTTTCTTAAATTTATAATGTCCCTAGAAACCAATGATATGATTTTGCATAGAAAATAAAAATCCTTTGACTTTTGACCAGATAATATTTCAAGATAATATAGTGAGGTTTAAATTAGTTATTTAATGCTAAAAATTAAACACTTTTTGTCCTAGCATTACTGAATAATATTTTTTTTATGATTTAAATACCACAGAATATCTTAAATATGTTTTCTGATAGATCTGGGGCAGCAAAGCCCTTCTGGACATTTATCTCTGAAATTACATTGAGAGGAATAAACAGCTGTCGGGAATATAAATGCTAACTCATCAGAATGCTGACTCAGTGCTGTAGAAATCAAAATATGTTCATCTACTGCAGAGGTAACATGTCATATACCAACTAGTCATGTTTTATCTTGGCTAACTATAAAACCAGTTGAACAAAAATGCTGGAACAAGGGAGTGGAAATCAAATTATAAATGGGAATAATTTTAAGGTCTTTATAAAGATCTACTGTATGACCATAAAAATAGAATAACAGAATAGTTTGGCTTGGAAGGGACCTTTTAAAGGTCATGTAGTCCAAACCTCACTGCAGACCAGGTTGCTCAGAGCCCCATCCTGCCTGACCTTGACTGTTTCCAGGGACAGGGCATCTACTATCTCATTTGGCAACCTGTGCCAGTGTTTCACCACCCTCACTGTAAAAAGTTCCTTTCTTCTATGTAATCTAAATTCACCTTTAAACTGAAGTTTAAAACCATTGCCCCTTGTCCTAATATATCAGGACTTGCTAAAATGTTTGTCCCCATCTAATAACCCCAAAAGTGACCATCCCAGTCAGGATGTGTTTGTTGGTCACCTTCAGTGGCAAAACCCCCTACTCTTTTAGGGCTGAAGAATGATTTAAGGTCCAATTCTGATTTCTCTGCAAGTAATAGAATTTCTTTGTTTGTTTGAAGCAGGATTTAGCAATGAAGGAAGGACCTGAATCCTCTGCAATGCCATATTAATGCTTAATGTCCCATTGGTCCAATTTTGACATTAAGTATGAGCTGAATGCTAGTGACTTTTTTGTACTAAGATTTATTAAGGGTGGAAATCTGTTACAGGAGAAAATTATTGCATTTTACTAAATACACTGATGATCTGCAAACAGATGTGAGAAGTTGGAGGCTTTCTTAAAGTTTTGTTCTGGTAATAAATTCTGTTAGAAAATAACTGCTATCTAGGCATTATTTCAGGACTTTTTATCCAGACAAATTTAATGTCTGATACTTTGGATCAACTGTCTTGACTTTGGTTGAAGCTTTCCGTGCTATATGGTGAAGGTTTTGGCTCAGTCTGGAGTTTTATCCAAGCAAGTAATGACTGGACTAGTGTGCATTTCTGGTAGAACAAATTACTTCACATTTAATGCATTTCTTGCTTAATATTTCAAAATTATATATATATGTGAATGAATGTCTATATATTCCTAAAGCCATTTCTACAATTTATGATATTTCCTTTTGTATTTCTTCAGTGATCTGCATCTGGCACTTTTCTGCCAGATATCAAGGTTGATATAAGGCATCAACCTATATCTTACAGAAGGATGAGCACCTAGTTCTCCAGAAATACACTCTGCCATAGGTCCTGCAGCAATGCTGCAAAGGAAGAATTTGCTTTTCAAAAGTATGACCCTGGGCATTACTCAGCAATGATGGCTGTCAAAGGGAAAGAGCAAAACACAGCAAAAAAAATTCTTCTGAAATATGACATTAAAGCTGAAAAGTCTTTCCATTGAAAAACCCCACTCCTCTGCAAAAAGAGAATCGAAAAGAGGAATATCTTAAGCACTTCATGCAATGCAATCTTTCTAAAGATAAAAGATGACAGAATACAGCTCTATTACTTAAAGAAATCAAAAATATTCATAAAGACAAACTACAGCGCAAAAGTATAGACTTCCATTTCTAATTTTGTAACCTCAAGCTTAATTTTGTTATTTGTTTCAACTCTTCAAGCAATCAGAATTTCTCAAGTCAGAATCTTTTCAGGCAGCTGAATTTCTCTGCTGGGCTCCCTGATCCTGTGACATCTTTGTCATGCCCAAGTTATCATGCAGTTTCACAAGGGAGCCCCGGGTTCTGCAAAACCCAATCCAGAGGCATTGTTTCATTGCCCTAGGTAAAGTAGTCTCATTTCATAAACTGAGTGAAATTTTCCCTGTACTGGCATGTTAGGCCTTCTGGTTCCAAATCATCCAGCTGTTGCTAATCTGTTATGTAGCTAGTATCTCTTCGTGCTGTATGATCCACGAGCAGCCAACATTTCTGCATACTTTTATATAGCAACATACTTAATAACCTGTAACATTATAAAATACACATGCAAATATTACAGAAAAAGACTGCAGCTTGGACCTACTTAAGACCACATTGTATCTATTTTTGGTTTGAGAAATTACTTCGTCAAGATATTCAGTTCCTGGACATATTCTGTTAAAAATCTGAGAAGTAACATTTAGTTCCTTTAAAATAATTACCATAACTTACAATTTTCACGTGTCCTTAATGTAAAAAAAAAAAAAAAAGAAAAAAAAAGATGAACCTCCCTTCATATAATTTTCTTTTCCATTTTTTTTATTGCTTTAATCTTACATGAGAAGGTTAAAAGGAACTTTTTCTCATTGCACTCATAGGTACAATATCTCTGACCTTGCCTTCTAAATTTCCTGACTTATGAAAGATTTGGTGGTTTCAAAAATGGTTATCTCACCCAGACTTTCACATCTGGCACCGGTATCAGCACAGATAGAAATAATCTGAAGCAATTTAACCTCACATTCTAATTCAAGCTTCTGTTAACAGCCTTTCTTCAGCTGTTCTACTTCTAAATTAGCTTAGGATTTCTTATGTCATGGTAGTTCTAATCCTGCTAGTTAGGGGCATGTTATCCAGTGGCAGCCCCAGGACTAGATTTGCACCTTATCTGCAAACATTCATGCTGCAGAATTCAGGAAAAAATGATGGATTTGTGTTTATTTTATATTAGCAACTTCATTTTCATTTCTGCTGTAAATATAGATGTGATAGTGGTTTATTTCTGAAACAGTTTTTTACCTTGAGCAGTCTACAAAATATAACTTCATTTATGCAGAATTGGCCCACAGCTTCTGATCCCATAGTTTAGCTTTCTTGTTTGTATTTGACAGTAAGCTTTGGATTTGCTACCAATCTCAGCAACACAAGGCTCCTCTTCCCAGAGCACTGCCTGGATTACACAATTCTCTTCCATCTTTCCTCTTGACTTTCCACTGCTCCTGTAATTTACCTCTTGCAGTCATGAAACTATAGGAGTTTCATAAATTTTCCAGGTTCCCTCAACCTTCTGTTGTGAACTTTCTGTTCTGAATTTCACTTTCTCTATATCAAGTTTATTCTCTATTCCTTTGGCAATCTGGTCTCTCCTGGGAACATACACCTTGGGAAATTTTACCCTGCACAAGAGCAGTTAATGACTACAGTCTCAGCTCTTGCACTTCCATTCGGGATTTCAGAGTAATGAAGCCTGATTAAGTATGGTCGGAACTGTGTGATACTTCTGTACAATAAAAATACAGATTGAACAACACTATTTGGGATCAGCTCCTCAAATAAATCTGTTGCCTCAGATCTTTCCTTCTTTAAAAGTGATTTTTCTTTAAATCAAATGAGTCTTTCGATTAGGAAACAAGGTTGATACTCACTAAGGTCCGACTCTAATCTTTTTGTGATAGCTGTCTTTAAATCCAGCAAACAAAACTCTTTTAAATCAGTGTAAACTCTCTGAGTAATGGGAGTGCCAGTGCCGCAGGATAATAAAAACCTGGCACAGAGACACTGCACTCATGGAGAAATGTTTGGTTGTTGCATTAACTAATAACAATAGATTAATTAATCAGTTTGCTTTTCTTTGTTGCCAATCTGGTAACTGTGATTAAGTTCTCTACTGCTGGCCATGTTGAGGGGTTTATTTTTGTCTTATTTGCTTATATGTCTATTCTCCTTTTGCCAATATAATCCTCAATCTATTCTTAGGTCTCCATAGACATCTCCCTATAAGTTAGGGAGAACATTATGCATTTGTTATAAAGAACAGTGTCAGAACAGCTACAGTCTCCCTTGGGAGGCATTTGATCATTCATTTTATCTAGATCACTTAAAATCTTCAAAGACCAGCTGTACCTGGGTATTAATGCTCTTTCAGAACCATATGTTTCCCTTCTGCACAAAACCCATGTAAGGGGGACACTTACATAAAAATCTTGCTGCAAATTATTGCTACTTGCTCCTTCTGTAGGGGATAAAGGATAAGGGACAAGTGGAAACACATGATTTTAATCAACCCATGGAGGATGTAAGAAAGCCTATAGGACATCTCAACATAGCTAGATTTTTTTCCCTCCCTTCCTCAAATCCTCCCTCAAAGTAATGGTAAACACTGCCTGCAAATAACCCCTGTCTATTCAGCTAAGAAGAAATACAGATAGTACTTTTAGAACCAGACACAGTTTTTTTGCTTGATGTGTTTTCCAGTTACAGAATACAGAATGTTATATTACTGTGCTGTTGCTACAGGCAGCATACAGACATATGATGGCTGCCTGACAAAGAAACATTAGATTACACATTTAGCCCACTCTGCAGAAGTTTGAAACATATTTTACATATGGTTTTGGCCCACTGGTTTCCTCTACTTTTCACAGGCAAATATGCCATTGTTATTAGTAAAGACACAGCAAAATAAAGGCAATATGCAGCAGGCAGGAACAAGAGGATCATTTAAGTTCAATTTCGAAGTTTTTTTGGTTTCCTGGGTTTTTTCACCCCTTAACTATCATTCTCCTATTCTTCTTGTGAATTTCCTTAAAACTTTACAAAATTATTACTAAAACATACATAAGAGGATATGTATTCCTTCTACAAACAAATGCAAAAAAAGGAAAAATTTTATAAAGCACATGCAAACCTGGTTCATACAAACAAAGCTCAATTATATGGTTGCATTAATTATTCAGAAGATTACATAAAACTGGCATGTGCAAATCTGGTGAGGGTGCTTCTCTTTTCTCTGGGTTGACGAGAATAAGTAAGAATAATTATATGTACCACAGTAACTAGCAGTGTCTGGTAAATTCAGTGAAATAATAGAATGAAGAATTATACCTGGGGAGGGGTGAATTTGCTTCTTCCAGTTGTTGGCTGTATGTCAAATGCACAGCACAATTTATGAGTAACTTCAGCACTGCTGCTGCTGCAAAAAATGGAAGACAGCATTGTCACTTTGTGTAGGTGATACAAGATGAATTTGTTCTTTGTAAAACACTTGCAACAGACTGCAAAGAAAAAATTAGCTTATAATATTGGAGAGGGAAACATCAAAAAAGAAAGCATATTACAAGCTAGCAACAAACTCCGTGAAAATGTCTCAAAATGTCTCAATATTGGGCCAGCAGAAGAAGTTAAGATGAAATCTATAGTGCTTTTATATGGGCTGTTTCCTTACTAGTCTCTTTCTATTCAATGCTAGCCAGAAAACATGTGAAGAACAAGAATGTCTCTTCAAGGTCTCTTGGCTGAAAACAGCAGAAAATAGTCTTCTCTTGCACCATCTAGTGAAGGCCAATTGAATTCAAAGGGCAACTAGCTGGTTGCTAGACTAAAGCATGCTAATGACATATGGAGAAACACAAACTGAGACAGGAGGTGATAAGATTATGTACTGTAGGTTAGGAGAGGATGTGGAGTCATTTTAAAATAATGCTAAATACCAGAGCAGGAATGTTTGTCACTGGTGCGTGTTAGGTGTGTGAACAGATAAACATTATTTGTACAGTAGTTAGACAATGCCTTTGTAAGGGAAAATTATTACAAAAAGGGAATTATTTTGGTGTTCTTTGCACTGCAAAAGACTTGTGACAAAGAAAATGGAAAATGCAACTTCAATTTGAAGATTATAAGAAGATTCAGAGAACATTTGTAGCCAACTCCCCCAGAAATTCATCACTCTTAAGGCTGGAGGTATTCACCATTATACTCCTTCAGAGATGCTCATATAGGAGATGACAGAAATGCAAATGAGATTCTGTGCATTATATTTAATTTTATCTTATCATGTTCATTTAGAATCCTAGCTATGACCTTGAACTTGGTTATATTTGTAATACAGTTCATCAAAGATGCTGAGCTTCAACAGCATCAGATTTGTCATGAGATGTCAGATGTCTGCATCAAGTAGGATGACAAGTAGCTGAGAAATGACATTGGTGCTACCCTAATCTTAAATCCATCAAAAGAATAAAATTCCTTGCAACCAGAACAGCATCAGGATACTTACGTAGAACTTTTTTTTCGTTGCTACTGGACAACTCTATTCCACTGCTTTGCTAATGATTTTTCTTAGTGTGTTTTCCAGCCATTAGAAATTTTTCAGATTTGAGTTGTATAAGAGAGTTTAATGTTTTATTCTGGTGGAATAGCATTATTTTGTCAACATTTACAGAAGTCAGAAGGAATTACATAGATAATTACCTTTGATCAGATGACCAGGTAAAAGGTGCAATACAATGTTGACAGGTATACTTTCAGAAGTTGCCAGTAGAAGAGATCATTTAAAAATAATGCATCTTGCTGAGAGATGTGACTGTATGAAAATAAAGGAAGGCAAGAGCAGCCTATTTCTGTTTTGTTCACGGTGTAGATACCACAGTAGTAACATTTCATAAATGTTCAAGACAGATGGTATGTAAGGTTTTTTTTGCATTAGATAACCAGAAACTTATCTATTGAATGGAGTGAATCCAATATCATGTGATCCACCTTAATCTTTGGCTTCAGGTTCACAGGAAACCTTCCCTCTGAACAGTTGCAGAGCTTGTGATTTATTGCTGCTGTCACAGTGATGTGCACAGATCACCAGACTGAATGTGTTTTGCAGTGACTACTTGCAAGTGTTGGTATTTTTGCTTTGTTCCTACAAACACTATGTCTTCTGTCTTCTAGAGAGATCTGTGTTTTCTTTTAGTGTCAGTGTACTCTGGTACACATTCAAACTGGCAGCACTGCAAAACGCTATCTCCACCACAGCGAGGTCACTCACAATAAGTGGAACATCATTGCTTTTGTCTACATGAACAGATAAGAAGCTTGATTTTGTTAACTCCATTTGAATATTCACTTTTGTTTATTTGTTCTGTTGTGTGGTCACTGCTTAATTAATTCTATTTGTTCATCGCTAAGGTCCAGCAAAGATTTGGAGGAGTAATATCACACTAGATTTGTGTGAGAAATCAGCTGATTTTCTTTAGAGAAGTTCTCTGGCTTCTGTAGTGTTTGTATCTTTCACTTGGGAGTGAAAGATGGTTCAATGAAGAGGTTCTTTAGCTGCTTGAGCAGTTGTCTGGAAGATAAGTGCAGTGAGTTTGAGAATGTCCTTGATCATTATCCATTAAGCAATGGTCTTTTTTCTGTGTTCTGGTTTTTAAATCTCAGTAGTGTTGCAGATGGTTCTGAGGAAGAGTTTGCAATACTGCAATAAAATGAACAGATTTGCTGAGATGTTCAGGGTGCCAGGAGAGATCTTTATTTATGGATCTTATAGTTAATCTTCAAAATTTATCCTTTGTGTATTATTTAAAAATTTTCACAGAAAAAAACCCTGGGGTTCATTAACTAAAAAAAAACAAAAACAAACCAACCAAACTAGGACTTAAGAAAAAAACCCAAAGCACCACCAGATGTTTATTTTCATTTTTGTTGCATCCTCTCTTGCTGCTCCAAAGTCTGGAGAGCCAGTGAGCAGCTCCCAAGAAACCACAGGACAGAGTAAGAACCAGCCAGTTTCCTAACTGCTTGGGTGCTCTTTACCTGCAGATGGTGGGCAAATTGATTAGTTGGCAAGAGAGCAAGAGAGCTCTCAAACCTGCAAGCATATAACAAGAAAAAAACCCACAAAACTAGTAGGTTATAGTGAGAAGAGTAATTACCCTGTAGCTGTTAACATGTTGCGTGCTGCCATTGCAGCAGTGCAGATCACAGCATGATCCAGGTCAACTTCAGGAATCCCTCGTTAGAAATATTGTTCCCAACACTCACCAAAATCCAAGGATTAGCCCATGCTACCAGACCCTCACATGGTATAAAATGATCACTTCCATGTGGCCTTGTTTTATGCCAGCTGAGTACACCTGACCCCAACATGGTCTCTCTTCTTCTTTCAAAGCTCCAAGAAAAGATGTTAAATAATTAGAGGCAAACAAAGGGAAAGGACAGACAGTATATTGAAATATAACTTCATTTCATGTCTTTTGCTACTTTGTTTTTAAAACATGATAGGAAGTAGAGATATTGCAGTATCAGAGAATACTAATGCAATGACCAATTTTAAATTGGACAAATAAAGTCTTGTCCAAAAGTTTTGTACAGACTTCTGTTTTTTTAATGTCTAAAAACAAGCAAGAGAAATATTATATAAAGCAGAAAAATGTTACATAAACTGCCATAACAGCAAAAGCTAAGTCTATTTACGTTACCAGACAAAACCTTACTAGTACATTATTTGTGTTATTCTTTTGCTTAAAACCTAGTGACTGACTCACACCACACCTCACAAGTTAAATCCAAAACTTTGTGGTCTCTGCTAAGGGGTGAATGGAAAATTGCTTAATTACCCCCCCTTTCTTTTTGCTCTTCATGTTTTCCCCAGGATGGAAGGCCTTATGCAATTTGATAGTGCAACATCAGGAATGTCATAAAGGCAGTTTTATTTTTATACTGGGGCAATTAAAAAAAAAAAAATTGGTCTACTCATAGCAAATTTGGAGCCAGATCATCTATGCCAAAAGTAGCAATAACTGCAGTGTATAAAGGAAGCTAGAATTGATTGTGTCTTCTCTGAAGCAGAGGACAGAAATTTGCTTATTTGATATAAAAACCTGGTTTGAAGCAATCGTTGATCTGCATGTGAAGTTTTATTGCTTATAAATAACTGACTAGAATCTAGAAAAGTCTTGACATTGGTTAGTAAAACAAAGATGAATGTAAATCCCTTATGTATTCAATGTAGTAAAAAAAATACTTGCTTGATATTCAAAATTACCTGTATCTAGAATTAACAGATCTGTTCTTTCTATCACATTAGGTAGTCTTGAAAGAAACTAGAAAGGGTTTTATATTCTTCACATAGTTCACCTGAAAAAATGACATATCTTAAATTTTTGTCACATTGAAAGTATTGGTCCAAATTAATATATTTTTAATAAATCAAAGTTGAATTGGGATACACAGACATATATTGTCTGAAGTTAGGCTTTCATAAATTGAAAAATTTTCAAAACTTTGGCTCAAGAGTTCCTTTAAGCTGATTTTTATCTCTCTCACATCTTCCCTTTTTCAACATATACTGCCCCCCCACCCCTTCACATGCACATCCTTAATGGGAGAGCTCTTCACTGGGATAAGTGCTACCTCTGCTGTTTTCACAAAATTAAAAATTCAGTGACTAAAAGAATGCTGCAGATTCTTAGCAGCATGAATAGTTTTGTTCTTGAAAATATCCAGACTGGACTTTTGAAAGCTTTGTAGATGCACACTGTAAGCCAGTACAGCATTTTGAATCTCCAGTAGGGTAGGGTGCCATGGCACTAGGGATGGCATCAGCTAATTACTGATGACAGCAAAAGCAACATCCTAGGAACCAGTCCTTCACCCTGCTGGGTTCAGGCTGATTCTTCTACCATGTGGAGTCCCAGATACAAAGAAAAAATAAAAATTCTCTGCAGCATCAAAGCTTTTGCTATTACAATTACCTATATTTTAAGTTATTTTTTTCATTTCCTAATTTCCACTTTTGGTTGAAGCAGGAAATTTGTGTATCTTGTATTTTATGATCTATGAGAATGTTATGAGGGACAGATATATAGTAACAGTATAATCATCTGGGAAACAGATCTGGAACCTGAACCAAAATTTCATGTAGGTTTCCCTACACTAGAATTATAGGAAGATTTGGGGTATACTAATACTGATAAACATTGAACACTTAGTTTCTTCATCTATGTTGTAAAAATCTTGTTTATCACCATTTTATTATTTTTACTCATTGTTTTCATTGTATCTTGTATTTGGACAGGACAATGAAAAGAGTAGCTTGTAGTCCATAATTTTTAAAAATTAATTGTTTTTTAATTGTTTTTTAAACTTCTTTCCAGACCAGAAAAGATTAATACTTGAACAGTAATAACAATTTTGGATTGAATTGTTTTATTAAATTTGTGCTTAAAAAAAAAAAAAATCTGATTAAAATTAGACCTAGCATGATTTTTAAAACATTTGAATAATTACCATAGACAATATCCCTGTAATGAGCTCCACTGACATTTTTTGTATTCTTTTCATAGTAGATTACTGTATACTTGCCTCTAATTATAGCAAATCCTATTACATTAATTTTCATTGTACTGCTAATCTGATTAAAATAGTATAACGTTAACAGTCATACACATGATAATGAGAACAGCTTTATACACTCTAAGTTATATATACCCGAATTAGAACAATTTCTTGAAAGTGAAAAATGGTTTTCCTATGTGTGATGAGTGTGCAAATATACAGCTAGAGATATAAAACAGTCTTCAATTCAGATTATAAACAATTTAAATACATTCAGGAAACATCCAGCTAACCTTCAGACTTATATCTCATGAATGTAGAAACATTACTGTCAGTGTTTAATTAAAGTTATTAAAGATGCTAAATAAGGCTCTGAATTTATAAATTTCATATTTATAATATTATAAATAAATGATAGTTAGACATTTTTATTTATAATATAAAAATAATAATTTTAGGCATGTTTATAAATTTTGGCAAGAAAAACTCCTTAAATTTTATTAATAGTCTCCATAATTTTGATCTACTTATCCTGATGTGTACAGGTACCATGCACAAAACTCTCTACTGTACTGAAAACAAAAGGGTCAAAGTAAGCAAGTAATTTTTCTAAACAACTGAGTATAACCATATGAATTTCTCCTCGTTCCAGATTTTTCACAGTGGTTCTGTAACACAACTACCACAGCAGCCATATTTCTTTCTCAGTCTGCAATATTCTGAATTTTTGTTTTTCAGAATTTTACACCCTTCCTCTGGGGAACAGTAATTTTCCCCTGCTTTTCACAATCTCTTATTTTCTTTTAACTGTTGTATGCTTGGAGGCTTGTCCATAGGACATGGCATCTAAAAATGAAAGCTATTAACAACTCTACATCCCAAAATCATAGCAAGGTCTAATCACACCTTACCTCAGAGTTACAGAGCCTTGCAGCTCTACCAATACACAGTTAGCAAGATTAATTAATTAGATCTTTGTGTACTAAGACTGTGATGTGTTGCAGATGGCAGTGTATTCCTTAGAATCTTTTCTGGGAAGTGATGTTACTTACGCTTCTCTTTCCTTGCATCTCACATTGAAATTGTATGCTTGGTAATTTCTTCCCTCCAGTAGTTTTCTACATGAATAAGCTGTATCAGAGAGCACTAATGGAATTCATGCATATGCTTATTTTTTTCTACATTAAGCTTATTTTATCCTGTGAGAGGGTCATGCTTGTCAAGCATAATGTGATATTTGGATAATTTTGACTTAAGGTGGTTTTCTTTTTTTCTTTAATTTTTTTTTTTTTAAGAGTAAAATCTTAGTATTACAAGCTTGCATATCTAAAATCACTGGGCAGTGGCTGCACAAATCCACTTTGGTCTAGCCTGAATTCCTCACTGTAATAGTATTCTTATTTTTGCATAAACTTAAAATTTGCTTTTAACAGTAAAAAGCAATTCCACATCAGACTTTATAGAAGAGCACTAATACTATTTGTGTGGAAAACCACTTCTAAATTCCCTGATTATAGTGAAACAGGGATACTTGCTTGCAAGTTTCTTGTAAATATTTCAATTTCTTAATCTAGAAAACCCTTTCTTCTTGATAATCCACAGTAAAGTTATTTATTCTGTGAATAAATTCTCTTAAAATAATGTCTCCTTCGGAGAAAACAAGGTGAACATTCTTTCCTTCCTAAGCAAAATTATTTAGCTCTTTTTATTTCGGCAGCCCAAATAAATGATCAGGATGAACAGTTTCAGAAAATGCAAGCCAGTTTTAAATAACTGTGTCAATTCATCACTGTACACACTTAGATCCACAGTTCTCTGCCACCAGTCAAACCAGCCTATCATGAAAGAACTTCAAAGAAATGTGGGAACTTCCCTTTGTGTATATGGCCAATTACAAAGTAAAGTGCCATAGGAAAAATCCTTCAAGTGTCTCTGTTTATTTTTTAGGATGGTACTGTATGTATATCTATATATATATTTATATAATCTTCACTTAACGTTTAATAAGAGACCAGAAAAAACCCTTTGTGTTATATTCAATAAATACATTCATGTGAGTACAAAGAAGCCTTAGTAGATCAGAAAAAGTCACAGAATTGGGTATCTTAAATGTGGTTAGGAAATGTACAAACACACACTTTTTGCTTACTTCCGAGGAGGGAGAAAATAACCCCCATTGTCATTGCATGTGACAAACTTGTACATTCCAAGGAATTGTTTTGTCTTTGACAGATATGACTCCTCACTTTTTCTTTCTGGAAAAAAAATGGAAGCTGTAACAAGTTTACAGATGACAGACTGAAATAGCAAGGAAGCCATTACAGTAGCTTCAACAGAAATCTTTATTAATATTACTATAATTGACTACCTATACAAATTCACATTACTAATAACCCCTGCAGAAAAAAAACCTTCCTTAGTAAATAGGAACATTTTGATTAAATTAAAGATGGAGATCAGTCAACTAATGTCATGCTTTAATGTCACTACTGTATTCTATCAGTCTGGAACTCTGCCACTTTACCAACTGAACTGTGTAATAAAAAGTTCTCAAATCATATTAAGTACCACAGAAGCATAAAACATGACATGTATCAAGATTTTTTTATCAGTCATTGGAGAAAAAGTCAGCAAGGGGAACAGGTTTATCCTAGAAGTAAACAAAATGCTAATTCTTCAGCATCCACAGTAGCCCAGTATTGAGAACTATATAGAACACATGATGTAATGTTATGAAAAGTGTCTGTTATATGCACAGTACAGCTAAAATTAAGACTATCCTAAGAGTCAAATAAAAGAAGTTATTAAATATTCCATGAAACCAGCAACAAGTTTATTTAATGTTTGATTTAGTTCTAATAAATTTTGCAAACCTAAAAATCAATGCAATTGAATGCTTGAAATGTGCCATTAAGGTCTAATCTGCCATCAGAAGTTGCTGATGCGACCATTACATTACTAATAAAGATGGCAGTTATTCTGGTAAGATTATTTTTTTTTAATTTTTGCCAAATAGTAGCTTACACAAGTTTGTTGAACAAAATAAGCTACATCAGCAAATAAAAAGTATTTTTGCTTGTTCGCATCTATGCCAGTTAGAAGTGCAGTGTCTTTTTCCTCACATTCTTGCAGAAAAACATTATCTGAAGTAATTTAAGCATAGCCAAGAGTTTTTAAAGTGCATTTCTATAGTGTCTCCAAAAAATCTTTTGAGCCAGTCCTAAACTTCCCCTTGTCCTTTGAGCACAGTCAAAACTGACACAGGTGAGAGCTTGAAAAGGATGGCACCTAGTGACAACTGGCACTTCAGGGTTGTGTGATGGGCTGATGATAAGGGAAAGCAAGATAAGGCTCTTCAATCCCAGTGACAGGCTTACTGAAATCAAATCTAAAGTCTGCAGAGGTAGATAATGCTGCAAATTCCTGCTGTGCGCTCTCTGGAATCTCACATTTATGCTATCAATATTAAGATGGAAAAAAAGAGAGGCACAACTTAGGATGAAAATAGCTTTACACCACAATTACACTTCCTCAGTCTTAGCAGCTGATGGGAGCTCCTGATGTACAACTGCCTCAGTGGCACCCTCTAAGTTGCAATGAGTCAGACTCCTGCTGCTGACAGCCTAAAATCACCATGGCACAGGTCAAGACTGTCACACACACTGGCATTAAACTCTACCTTCTTGGGCCCCTTCCATCAGTTTTCTGGACACAACACTGTCCTGGTGTAAACACACAGTCATGAGCGGAGTTGTGTCAAGACCACATCCACTCAGCATAGCAGTCATACACCACAGTGCAACTTGTTATTGTGTGAAAAAGCAGTCTGTTCCTCTGAGCCAAGAGGTGCATTGCAAGGTCATTCTGGAGACAGGCTTCAGAAGAAGCCAGGGCATCACAGACTGTAAGAAATAGATTATACAGCTTGTTCTAAGGTAATGTCTGCATCTGAGTTACCTGAGCAAACAAAATTAAGAAATTAATATGGTTCTGCTTGGTTTGGACTGAAAAAAAACCCTATGAAAAAGCTGTATTAACCTGACAGGAATGAAATTGTTTTAAAAACACACACTAGGTTCAAAGAGTGTTTCAGCTTTCTGCAGTAAAGGAGAGTGTGCTCTGTTAGACAGAATGGGTTTGCACTAACAGCAGCAAATAGCATCAGAGACCCTCTCTTGCACGGATCTCTACCTTGGAAATTTTGGTCTTAGCTCAGCAAGGTCTCATGCTTGTCTCTCAGGTCCACAAGAGACAACAGTGGGATGTCTGGATACTTCCCCCAATCTGGAAGTTGCTGGTTGACTCCTGTTAAAAATAGCCTGTTCATCTAAAAGGCAAGAAAGACCGGATCTTTTTACTCTTGCAGCATATATGTAAAACATTGGTGCATAAAGCAAGATGTTCAGAAGGGCAATGGTACAAGAAAAACAAATAATGGCAATTAAAACAAGAGGATAAAATGTCTTCATTAAGAAGTGGTTTTTATCTCAGTAATGCACTTAAAGAAGTACAGAAGATGATGCATAAAATGGACATAAGTTAATTTGTTAATACCAGATTGACAGAATATAATAGTTCAAAACTATAGAGCTAAATTTGGAATAACTGTCATTATTCAGCAAATTTAAATAGATTTAGGAATCCCTATTGAATTAGGAATAGGAATCACATAATAGACTTTTAAAGAAGTTTTGAATATATGCCCATGTTCCACTGTAAGTCTTTATGCAAGGTACTGTTGTCAGATTTCTTAACTATTTTGTATATAAATAATTAAAACAAATTTATGTCCCAAACTTGCAAATGTAAAAGTGAAAAACAATATTTTGAGCTTCTCTAATACACAGTCCTTTTACAAAGAAGAAACCTTTGGCAGCTTACCTGCTTCTTCCAGGTTTATCAGCTTTCAAATAAACTTCACTTCCCATATCCTTAGATTGTCTGATCTAAAAAATTTCCACCACTACAACCAGATTAAGACTAGATTTTTTTGGGAAGAATTTCTATATGAGATTTGTTTTTCTAACTAATAGACATAACATTCAAATATCTAATGATAACAAATAACACTCAATATTTAAACTATTAGTCTCATCATTCTTTTAGTCAGCACTTCCTACCATTTTAAGGTGTATGTTATTTTCTTAATAGTATTGCACAAATGTAAATGACTACTTCAATTACAAGGTCACTGGCATTCTGTTAATGTTGTTGAGATGAAAATCCAGCCCACACTTACTCTCATGTGTGGGCAACAAGAGTTTTTTCAGCCAGCTAATGATGACTAGATAACAGAAGGAGAAAGCAACATGTTGGCTTTACAGTTCTTCGTTTTAAGCCAAAGTAAGATCTCTACAGGTTTTCAAACTAATCTGATATAGTGTGTACATAAGATACATACTTCCCAGTTAGTAAACTAAGAGCATTGTTTAAGTACAACAATTAATGCCACCTCCTAAATCTTCCTAATCATTTCAAGTTAGTTATCCCTCATTGCTCATAATGCCTGAGCTCTTCAAAGTCAAAGAAGCCATTAATGGGATCTTGAGAGGTGGAGATGTACACTGGACATCAATCTGGACATCAAGCTGCCATTTGAGTTTTTTAAAGCATTTGCTATACAGAATTTCAGGACATTTGTGTACATCAGATTTCTTGGTGGAAATGGAAGGCCATTGAACTCATTAATTACAGTAATGCAACGATGGTGTTTCTAATTAAAATCTGTTGCGCTTGTTAAGTATGGCACTTGTCTTCTCTGCTTCCCGTGTTGTGAACAGGCCTAGGTAGAATGCAGCCTACTGCAGTCTTGAAGTATCTATTATACATTCACACACAAAATAATCACTGAAATGCTCATCTCTGAGCCATAAAGTGACAGTATTATTCACATTATTTCTTCCCAGGTGACAGTGCCACTTTAGGACCTCAACTCTGGGTAAGGATTACAAGTAATACTATTCACGTTAGAGCAACTTAATGAAAAGTTGTCACTTCAGCATGGATTTGTTCTTATCTGCATGCTTAAACAGAGTATCCCAGGCCAAAGTATTTTGCACCACCATTGATCAATGTGTCCAGCTAGGTGCCACCCCTCACTGCAGGGATGTTTGTGCTGAGGGTCTCTGTACTGTACCAGCTGTTAAAACTTATTCCAAATGCACTTCTCAGACACCACTGTCTTCTTCTGCTGTTAGTGTGAGCTTGAGGAGGAAGGCACAGAACAGATTAAAGCCATGACAGCTGTGTCACACCTGAGGCCACCACAGAGTTGTGTGTTCAGCTATTTGTGCTTAAGCACACAGAAGGCGGGAACCCCCTAAAATCATGTAATACTTTCAGATTGGCTTCATCACCATATGATTTTTAAGCACACTTCAGTTGTTTTTGTCACATGGAAATAAATAAAAAAGGGGTTGCCTTCCTGTGGCCTCACCAGGGTTTTTAGGTGCGCCTGCCCGTGCAGGTGCTCGGGGTGGCTGCTGTGGTCCCGCGGCGGGAGCTGCCTTCCAGCCATCCCTCCTGAGGGAGCCTTAGCGGGACGCGCTGTCCCCCTTCCCCTCAGCGCTGCTGTCGCCCTCAGCTCACCCGTACCTATGCTCGCCTCGTCTCACCCCACCCTCCTACTGACCTTCCCCCTCGCGGGGCCGCCCCGGCAGGCGCTGAGGCGTTTGCCCCGGAGCTCGGTTACTGCGGCCCCACAACCGACACTGTTAGCCGTGAGGGCGATTAAAATAACATGGGTCTCCTCTAGGCGCTAATGGGATTAGAGGCGAGGCCGGCGAGGCGCGGGCAGCGCTGCGGCCATGGCGCTCCTCTGATGGCGGGAGGGC